TCGTGTCAGTCCGAAGACTGTTCACCGTTCACTGATGAGTTGAACACATGTTTGCCATCGAACTGCCTCACTGACTGAATGAGAGGCTGGCTGGACTGCCAATGTTTACAGGCGCGGTGAATGATCGAGTTGGCGAGCACCACCAGTTGGCCACACAGCCGCTGCTGCTGCTGATGCAGTACTCGTCTGCAAAGCCTCTCTCTCTTTTTCGCCTGCCTGCCTTTCGCTGCTATTCGTCCGTTGTTCAGCACTGCAGCCTGATGCCGCACTGATGAAGCGCAGCTTCACTCGGCTCCTTCCGTCCTCTGGCCAAACTCGGCCATCTGTTTGCCGGCAAGTGGTGGGAGCAGTGGAAGAGCAGGCAGGCAAGCAAGCACCTATTTCTCATTCCTTCTTTCCTTCCTTCCTTCCTCCTCTGTCCGAGTGGAACTCGGTGTACGCACACACACATTCGATTGGTTACATGCTCTGCAGCAGCGCAATCAGTACTGCCTGGGTGCTCCGTGCCTTGAGGATGATCTGTAAAATGGTTCCCTCGACCGCATTCGTCTGCTGATATATACCACTGATGTATTTGCAGGCAATTGTTTATTTAGATTACTTTGCACGCGCCCTGCCGCTCACTTTGCTTTCCACTGTGAATGGATCAGACTGACTCATTCTCATTCATTCATTCACCCGCTACTGAAATTAGCCTCTATTTTGCATTCATTTCCTCTCGAGTTTTTAATTGTCGCCGTCTGGTAAATGGCTATAAATAGATGCGCCGTTTAGCGGAGGGGCACAGCGGCATCAGCAGAAACAGCAGTAGTAGCAGTAGCAACATTAAGAAAATCATTCTAATAAAGACGCAAAAGGGGCCAATTTGGTTGTTTTTGTATTTGCAACAACAGTTTTGCCGACAACCGTTTGTTCGTTCAACTGTCGAACTTGTTTGCAACTGCAGATTCGAAATTGAGCCCTGACATTTTAAAAGCATTGGTGAGCAGAGAATAATCATCCCTGGAAATGCATTTGCTGCCATTGGTTGCCAGTGTTGAAGTGCTCAAACACACAAACACACCAACACTGACAGATTGCACTGCCACCATCAATGACATCGTTTGGGGCTGCAGTAGCACGAACGGTGATTTGCTTCTCCGTGCTTTGCCTGGCATTCTCGGTGGAGGATCAAAGTCTGCCGTGTAGGCAAACAAACCAAATGAAAGCAGTGATGGCAGTACAGTGGTCTCCACTAGTCACCAGCTACCTGATGGAGTTTGATCGCATGCTAGTGCATCTCGATCACAGGGGAAACGTCCTAAAGCATACGATGCAGGCAGAGTGTAGGTAAAGGGGTTAACATAGTAAAGCATTCACCACTGACTGCTAACCTTCCACTACAGATCGATATGAGCTCTGTGGAATTTTTGCCATCCAGTGCACACAGGTTGGATCATCATCCTGTCAGCCGCAACAAGCCGTTGTTCTCTTTCACTCAAACAAGCCCCACTTTCAATATGAGCTGATCTTCGATTGGAATCATCTAACCAAAGTTATTGAAAAACTGCCTTCTAATACGAGCACTGCGAACAAACTTTTTCATGAGTTGAATAAAACACTAGAACAACTACACCGAAAAGCACCGTTGACGTTTCATCAAGTGACGTCAGAATTCTACATAGTCGACAACCGCCGTCACATCATCATTAGATTGAACATCAAAACTGGAAATAAGGATAAACTGTCTACACTGACAAATCCACTTTCTAGCATTCTCTCAATTGAAAACAAAGTCTATGCAGTGTTTTGGAAAATGGATACTCTGTTTGAGTTGAAACAGGAAGCTTTTCACCCAACGGTAAACAAACAAATTACAGAGTATCAATGTGCAGATTATCATCATCATTTTAACTTTCAGGCTCTTTCAGTGAAGCACCTTCTCAACTGCCAGGCAAAATCATTTTACGAGAATCGAAAGCTGGCATCAACTTTAAGCCTATGCTGCATTGCAATTATCATTGTGCTGATCTTTCTACTCACTCTGACCTTTATCAACATCCAAAAAGTATGAGACTGTGCTTAATCATTACCAAATTCTGACTAACAAACTTACTACTCTATTCACAGATGTATTCTTACAACTTTAATATTTTGAGAATTAGATCAATAAAATAAGTTGGCAGTAAATGACCAAAATGAAAAAATATCATAAGAGTATAACGGTAAAACTTAACAATAAAAACGAGCTTAATCATTCAAAAACTTGACCACGTAATTAACAAACTCGGCCGGTTTTTGCACATGAAGGTAGTGGCCGGCTTCGGGAATCGGCGCAAAAGTCACAGCTGGCAGACACATGCGAATGTCAGGGAAATCTTCCGCACTACAGAAACAAAGTTGAGAACTGAGTCTGTCAGGCAAGACAGAATACGCTCACTTACCGCACATAGTCCGATTTTCCGCCGTAAATAATTAGCGACGGTCCGGTGTACTTCAACGATGAGTCCACCTTGTCAACTTCGCGCTTTGCAACAAATGTTTTCAGCGCATCACAGTTGAACTTCCACTTGAATACACCATCGGTGTCTTTGTAAAGGCTCAGCAGAAAAAAGTCTACAATAAATTGGTGCTGCAACATAGACGGGTACGATCATTAGCACCTGCAATAACGTGCCGCACCCAAACATACCATAATACGGGGCATCAACTTTCCGCCCACCTCTCGGCGAGCCTTGCTAATGTCAAGGTCAGACGGCAGATCTTCAAGAATTAACTTCATGTAGTCAAAAAGATCTTCACTGAGGAAGTCAATTGGCGGCAGTCGGTTTACCGGGGAGACATCAGCGAGAATTAATTTTTCCACCTTCTCAGGCTACGGCAGGACAGAGACAAAGAAGCAACAAACAAATAAACAATGAATGTCAGTGGGTGGCAAGCGGATTTGCCAAAGTGAAACGCTTACCGAGTGAAAAGCAAACTGACAGGCGACTCGCCCGCCGAGACTGTCATTTAGAAGTTAATGAGAAAGGGAGTTAAAGTAAGTAAAGACATGCATGGGAAAGATAATATCATGTCTCACCTGTGACCGAGAATGCTGGCCTGCTCCATGTAAGTTCGCTCCATGAAGTAGCCAATGTCGCTGGCCATGTCGGCAATGGTCGACTCTTCTCCCTTCACATGTGGACTGTCGCCGTGGTTTCGCAGATCAAGTGAGTAAATGGGTCGCTTAGTTTTGGCGGCCAGCTGGTTAGCAATCGTACGCCAGTTGATTTTCATGCCGAAAAGTCCATGGAAGATGAGCAGTGGCGCCAGAGTGTTGTCCACATCTTCAGTGGACACCTTGAAGAAGGAAAGCGCCACTGAGCGATGGCGATAACGGAAGACGCCATGTGACCAGACTGCTGACTGTGAGGCTTTCAGTAGCTGCCGAACGGAGTTGGTAGCCAGGGAGTTCATGACTCCAAAGAATAGGATAAGCTCGGACAGACCGGCGACTTTCTTCGTCACAGGCAAAACAGTTGTAAACAAAACCAGACACGCGTTGAAATAGCAGCAGTACAGTTGCGGTGACGCAACTCAATGTGAAATTCGACAAGAATCGTTCTTACTCCGATTGATTTATTCATAGATTTATCTACTGTGTAAATGTACAAAGAAATAACGGCTAATTAAGTTTACATTTCTATAAATCCCCTTTAGACGTCAGGCCACATAAAAGTTTCATTGTTTGTTGGGTACTTTTTTCTTGCTTTCAAGCCTACTTGGTCAATTTTGGGACCTGGATAAGCGTCACCTCCGCCAAAATAGGTATCGGCCTTCTTATTGAAGATGATGGGCTCGGGAATAATGTGCAGATTTTTGGGCAAACCGGTGGGATTTTGCGCCATTTGATCGTAACTGTTCTTGCCAATCACCTCGGTTTGATAAAACTGTTTTACATCATCAACTGTCTTCATCAAGAAAAGATCAGAGTTGGGCACTTCATGATCAAACTCCTGAATGCATTTGGTTAAGAACTAAAAACGCGAAATTAGTTTTGCTCAATTTTCAAACACATTTAACTTACCGTAAACTTTAGCTTATGATCACTAAGCGTTACATTTTTATCGCCAAGTATCTCTTTGCTTATCCTGTCGATTCTTTCGCTGACATCGCTCGGTGGACTGTATGGTTTGCCATCGCGACAAAAACTGTTGAACAATGCAAAATCTGTAAATTAATCGTTTCCAATAGAGACGACAAACATACCCTGAAATTAGAAGACGACTTCGAAGTTGAGTTAGCTTGCTTTCCGCCATCAACTTGGCTTGCTTCGGATCAGAGTGCAATCTTGCATTCTTCTCAATGAGGTTGATCTTGGTCACCTCAGGTTCTTTGCCCATGGGTGACACATTTTGCCATTTTTCCTTCTTTGATCTGATGTTGTGCTTCTTGCTGACTACCACCTTCTCTCCAGTCGATGTAATCTGGTAGTGAGCGCATCGCTTCTGCAGCAACGTCGGTCGACACTGCTTAAGGCATCGAAGTGAAAGGGCGCCCAAGAGCTTAGAATCGGGCCACATTCTGGGGGGAGAAGAGGTGAATGTGTGGAATTCAAGAAAACAAATGCAAAACAAAAGTCGGCATGAGAGTAGCCATTTCGACAGAGCGTGCAGCCCATTTCTCCGACTCCACTATTTCATATGACAGGCTCAACAGCAAAAACAAGTGCAAAAAAATCAGCAGCATCTGTGTTTCAAAAGTGTTTTGAAAACTCCCTTCTCCGGCTATTCTGCCGCCCAAACGGCCATTCTACCTCGCCCTTTTGTGGCCGCCAAGGCACCACCACCGCCTTCCCGATTGCTTGCTGCCTGCATTGTTTCTGCCAACCGCCTAATGCCGTGCCCATACGTTCCCTTTACTGCTGTGACACTTCCTTCAGTGTCTTAATCTTTTCACCGTTGACCTCCGTTCACTCCCATCACCACCACCTCCTCCTCCTCCTCCAAGTAGCGTTCTGCCCTGAACTTGACGCTACCATGTCTAAGGAATACGACCACCTCTTTAAATTGCTAATCATCGGGGACAGCGGTAAAAAAATTTGTTTTTTGTGCAATGTACATGCTCATCGCTAAACGGGCAAACAATTTAGGTGTTGGCAAGAGCAGTCTACTCTTACGCTTTGCTGATAACACGTTCTCCGGAAACTATATATCTACCATTGGCGTCGACTTCAAAATACGAACAATTATTATTGACAATGAAAAAGTTAAGTTGCAAATTTGGGACACTGCCGGTCAGGAACGATTTCGCACAATAACCTCAACGTGAGTTGACATGTTTCTTTTTTTCAATTTTACAGAGACTAAATTTTAAATTTAAACAGATACTACAGAGGCGCTCACGGCGTTATTGTTGTATACGACGTAACCAATGGTGATAGCTTTCACAATATTAGTAGGTGGTTAAGTGAAATAGAGAACAACTGCGAAGTTGAAAATAGGATCTTAGGTAAGGTGTCATGTTTGTTCTTTCTGTAAATGTTATCTCTGTCTCAACTGCTTTGTGCAGTTCAAGTTACAGTTATAGTATACGTATGTCCTTCTTTCTTTCAGTTGGCAACAAAAACGACGATCCCAGCTCCAAAGTGGTGCTCACCAAAGATGCTCAAGGCGTAGCTCAGCTGATGAATATGCCATTGTTCGAAACCAGCGCCAAGGAGAACATCAACGTCGAGGAGATGTTCAACGCTATCACGCGAATGGTTCTCAAATCAAAGAAAGATCAGTTAAGTAAACAGAGTAACGACAATGCCATCAAAGTGACAAAATCTAGCGGTCACAAGAGCCGCAAGAAATGTTGTTAACGCCAATTGTTGCATGCTCATCATCTCAAATCTCTCTAGTATCTACTTTGAAACAACTGTAATTATTGCCCCTCCCCCGTTTTTTCCAAACGTTAACAAATTAACTATTAATTCCCATGTTTTCTGAGCTATTGAGTCTAATAATCTTATCTCCTTTGTCTTTATAAAAGTGTAATGCACCTGTTGAATGGAGGGAACAAGTTTTAATTTGTTGCATTAGCAACAGATAACATTCAGTTTGTAGAGTTCACTGTCACAGTGACGAGAATGGTGAAAACGGTAAAACGAGTGAAATGGTATTTTACATGAATCAAGTAGTAATGAGAGCTCCGCATCTTTTTACATAAAATGCATGTATAACATCAACAAATAGATAAATAGTGAATAGAGAGATTTGTACAATAGTGAACAGAGTAGCAGTAAACAGTGGGTTGAATGATATGAAAGTGTGAAATTGATGGAAACGATGAAAAAGTACGAATGAGGATGAATGGTAATGAATGATGAATATCAAATGAAGAAGATCAAGGCGGATGACAAGCGTGCAAGTAGGGAGGATAGGAAGGTCGGGTGTTTACAGTCGCAGGGCGACTAGAGAGTAGGCGTCTTCGGTGTTCACTGTGTCTGGTGATCACTGCAGTCAGTTGAGCTTTTGAATTCTATTTCACTTTCACTTTTTGGCCGCTTTAAACTTGAGACTTCTCTGCTTGATGATGGAGCTCTGGGTGATCGAGTTGCGCTTTCCTTCGCAGTTGGTGTTCAGCGCCGAGATGGAGAGATTCTTGAGACTTTCACAGGTGGAAAAATTGTCCTTGTCGTTGGGTGATCCGAGAATCAGCGAAGACATTGACGAGCTGAGATTCATGGTCGAGGACACTGAGAGGGTGCTGCAGGGAAACTCAAAGTCGTGCATTTCAGTGTCGTCCACGGAGAGGCACGTCTCCACCATTGCCTCCAGGCAGTTGACAAACAGTTCTGCATTGTCGAGATTCGATTCAGGGTTCTTTGAGAATGGGCCGGCGAAGCGCCAGAGACCGCCAAAACCAAATGCTATAGCACAAATGAATTGAAGAATTAGAATGAGGAAATGTGATTAAAAAAGATAGCTGTACTTACTTTGTAAGCAGTGTGACTGCTGCTGTGGCTCTTCATTGCAGAGGACCATGTTGTGGATGATGCACTGAACTGCACTCAAGATAACCTTATCATGGCACAACGAGAGCACGTTGGTAATTTTAGCGTCCAGAAGTGAGTGACTGCAAAAGTAAGAGAGACAAGATCAGTCAGTCAGTCAGTCTGAGGAGTTGTAATCAAAATCAAAAGTGCACTACTCACATGACGGGGAAAACCTTTGGAAAGACGACCGAAGCTTCAGCCAGATACTCATAGAGAATGCGTATTTCCGCCTCATCGGTGGTGTTTCGCACCAGCGTAGCCTGTATTTGCAATTAACAAATGATAACAATTCTGATGACGCAAATCTGACGCAAAAGTGTAGCACTTACCAAAATGGTGAGAATCAAAGCCTGGTTCTGAAAGTCCGACAGCACTTCAGGGTCGAGTAAAATGTTGTTCTCATTGGACACTGACAGCCGAGACTGCTTCTTGCTCTGAATTGACTTGCTTTCTTGCTTCTCCAGTTTACCCGTAGTGGTTGCAAGCGTGGAAACAGGCAAGGTAGCGGTAACGGGTGCCTGCGGCGGCGGTTGCTGCGGTTGTTGTTTGCCATCTTCATCTCCGCCATTGTAGGGCTTCTCTTTGCCATCGGCAGTATCAGCTTTACTGTTCGTCCCAAAGCTCTCTCCCGTCTTGTGCAGTGTTTTTGGCGTGGGCATGGAGCTACTCCTCTGGGTGCGGTACAGTGGCCGGTAGTTGTTGGTGGAGGAGTCAATGTCCAGACTCTTCCAGTGTTTGTCCTCCTCCGAGGTGCTGATGGAGGTGCTCGTCTGGTAGGCGGTGCTTATCTGGTTGGAGAAGTGTGGCTTCAGCGGAGACTTGCCGCCCTTCATGCTGGACACTGGCAGGTAGAAGTTAGAGTCAATGGACTTTTGCTTTCCGCTGGTGGGCGTGTTAGAGTGCGACGACACGTAGTTGGGGTAGATCTGGTAGTTCGCCGAGAAGGACACCTGGTGGTTCTGGGTGATGTAGCTGCTCAGAGGTAGGTTCATCAGTGTCGAGGGAGTGGGCAGAGGCGTGGGTGACTGGGTCGGCAGGACATTGCCCGTCACTCCGACGGGGTTGCTGTAGCTCTTTGTGACGACGCCATTCGGCAGGGGAACCGGCGCCGGGGTGGGCACCTCATTCTGAAAGGTCTTTGAGGAGGTTCGATCGAGAAAGTTTCGACTGACTTTGTGTCGCAAGTGAACGCGACTTTGTACTTCTTCAGAAACGGAGATCAATGCGCTGAGGTAGGGGGCTGACTCGAGGTTCACTTCGAACTTGTCCCGCTTGTGCGGCTTTGCTACGATTTCCAGCAGCATGTTCAAAACACGCGTCGTTCGGGAGACGGTAGTCGGCGTGGTGTGCCGGAAGCCCTTGATGAGGTGGCCCACGAGGGCACAATGAAAGTTTGACATGAAACTAAGACCCACTGAGTGGTCGAGCTGCTTAAAGTGCCACTCCAATGGCTCACGAGTGGTCATCATCACATTCTTCAGGGTGTTACTCTCAAAAGTGCCAAAGGAATCGAGAGTATGTAGGTTCTGTTCAAGTAGCGCCAGACCGGACGCGTACAGCGAGGTCTCATCAAGCTGAAGCACGGAAATGGCCACCCAGAAGAGGGCTCGGTGAATGGGCGACTCGGAGGTGAGCAGTGGCTGCAGTCTGGTCAGACAGACGATGATCGACTCGATTAGCTGCAGATCTTGAAACGACTCAAGCGCCTTCACGAGAATGCGCAGCAGCTGAATGATCTCAAAGTCGGAAATGGACTTTGAGATGCACCCGAAGACGATGATGGAGCGAGGCTGCAGGGCGGGGTTGTAGCGGAAGGCAAACGACCTCGCCATCTCCGTCCACCTCTGCAGCCAGTCACAGTCGGGAATGTTCTTCATGCAGGCCTCCATGATCTCCAGCAGTGCGTCGGTGATGGTCTCCAGCGAGCTCAGGGGCAGCTTCGGCTCGTGGTGGTGGTGGCTGGTGCTGCTGCTGCCACCGCCGCCCCCTCCCCCTCCGCCGCCGCCGCCGGTGTTCGGATTGGCGCTGTTTGAGTTGACATTGGCGTTGACGGCGCTGTTCACATTGACGACCGAGGTGGTGTTTGCATTGCCAATGGCCGAGGTAATGGTGGGCGGAGCGGTGGTGTTGCTGGGCGAGGCCACCCCCGACGACTCCTGGTTGATGGAGTTGGTGCACTGGACCGGGTTGCGCGAGCAGCTGGTGGAGGGCACGGTGCGAAAGGCGATGACCGCCGCCGACTTGACGTCACTGATGCCGAAGAGCAGGTAGAACTTGGAGAGGCTGAACTCGTCGAGACTGAGGCGAAGGACGCGCTGCGTCTCGCCGCTGAATGAGGGCTTCGTGCAGGTGCACAGCGAGTGAATGATGTTGATGACTAGACCGTGGATGGAGGCACGCAGGGAGATCGGTCCGATGTGCACCAGCAGGGTGACTATGTGAAAGAGGTACGGCAGGTGGTTGGCCACATCGAGACAGTTGTTGAAGGAGAGCATCAGGAGATAGCGGCTCAGGGTGGCGATATCGTCCCACATTAGATGCGCCTCCAACGTTGAGGTAGGTGAGGTGCAGGTCTTCTCAATGACGCGACAAAGGCGACTGATGACCTTCATTGCCACGAGCTGAACATTTGCTGAGGCGAGGGCGACTAGATAAGAGAGAGAGGGCAAATGATTAGTTCAACATAGAGTTGACTTTACTGAGCAAACTTACCAGCAGTGTCAGCCATAGTTTCCGCCTGGTTACTGCCCAGTCCACTGGTGACTGATCGTTTAATGAAGCTGTCCAGTGTGAGGTCAAGCAGATCGGAAATTTGTCCAATGTTGCCCCATATCTTCGCCTGAATGGACGGGTACATTTCCACTTCTTCAATCGTCAGAGTGATTAGTTTGTCCAAAATGGTGGCCACTCGTTGGCGCTTGTTATCGTCTGTTTGTTTGCAGAAGCGGGTCAAATTGGGAAGCCACGAAGTCATGTACTCCAGACACAAGTGCTTTAGCTCAATGTTTGATGAGCGAAAACCCTGAATGCACTCCTCTAGAAACTCCAGCGTCAGATGGGAGGCATTCAAGGCGAGCTTCTCGCTGATCTGCTTGATGAAAATGGTATTGTTTGATGGAATACAGAGCCCGGCAGTCTCAAGCAGCTGCCCGTCGATCTTCAGGTCAAACGTTCCCGTAAGTGCACAGAGCAGATTGTAGGCAGCTGTGCGCAGGTTCGGATCAGCACTGCCCAAATTGAGGAGGGCCATGTTGAGCAGCGTTCCCGGTACGTCTTTAGGTCTGATTTTGGTGTGCACTGTGACCGTGTCCGGTTGAGAGAGCTCCCAACGAGTTCGTATGTGAATGATGGCTTGCACAATGCTATCACAGTCGTTGTGAATGAAGGACAGAGGCGTGTTCTCATTGGCAATGGTCAACGTGAATTGGTTGTCATCCACCAGGCACACCTCTTCAATTTCTGACGCATAGTAGACGTCGTTCAGCAGCACCGGAATTCCTAAAACTTTGGTCTTTTCAGCGGCGGTGATCTGAATGGCCGTCGGCCCCACTTTGATGGACACTTTTGTGTCCTTGTGCGACAGCTTTAGAGCATTGTTGAAAACCTTCAGATCCTCTTCCAGTGCCAACGTAGCTCCGGGCAGGCGTTGCTGTTCAATGTCAATGTACTCACTCAACTTTATGGCCGACTCTACGAAGATGAGCTTTCTGCTACCCTTCAGTCGAAGCATCAGACGCTCGTGGAACTTTGAGTATTCTCGCACCCATGAATTGCAGTTGTAAATGTACGTTGAGACTATTTTTTCGTAAGCAATTTCGGGCAAAACGACAAACCATTTTTGCAAAAATTCAGTCTAAAGAAAGTAAATGAAGCAAGATTAGCAAGATAGGAATTACCATCATTTTGCATTACCCTAAATCGACAGTCAGAATTAGTGTGAGTAAAGTCGATGACCACCTCAAATGGCGAGTGACAGAAGGGCTTCAGAGTGAGGATGACATGGTAAATCAGCAGATCGCCATTGGTTTCGCCGATTTTGTAGCGACGAGCAATGTAGTAGAACACCGGATGGCCGGCCTTGGATGTTCCCGCGTGGTAGAAAATGTTGAGTGTTTTAATGGACTTGAACTCGTCCTTGTCGTGCATGTTGTGCTTGGCCATAATCTCCTCAAACTTTGTACTGGTCATCTCCATTGAGTTCCACTGCGAATCACTGATCGCCTTGTGCTCTGGCGGTCCAAGGTAGGCCAGCAGGGTGGCCATCTTGTCGAAGGGCCGCCTGCCCATGGCCTTGTTGTCCCGCGAGCTGGAGAGGTAGTCGCCGATCTTCTCCTGATGATTCCACAGCAGCCGGTGCAGGGTGTGCACATTGGCGTCGCTGATGAAGGAGATGTTGTGGTTGGCCTGCAGCTCAATCGCATCCAACTCGGAGATGATCTGCGTCACCCACCGTCTGCCGGCGTCAAAGTTGGAGCGCAGAAAGTCATTGAAGCAGAGCATGTGCTGCTCCTTGCTGAACTCCACGTGGTTGGCAATGTTCTGCAGAATCTTCGACACCAGCATGAGGCCTCGTTTAATTCGCGGTGGTGGCTGCTTCTCGACGATGCCCATCTCAAAGGGCGACACGATGACGGGGTTGATGAAGCGCAGAAAGACGACAGTGCCCACGGCGCTTATGTTCAGCGGGTAGGTGGGAAAGCGCTTGATGAGCACCTGGTACAGACAGTTGCACATCACTCGCAGCTGAAAGGGAAAGCTGTCGCCTGAGCTGACGATGGCGTTGAAGATCTTTTGTGTGAGTGCGAGTAGGTTTCGACGGTTCACCTCAATGTCATCGTTCGTCTCGAAACGAGCCGCATCTACCTCGTAGCTAATGTGTGATGGCGAGTCAATCAGCGGTTTGATGAGTGGCTCAAGAAGGTTCTTCAAGTAGGAGTTGCCGTACACTTTGAAGCAGAAGGCCATTATCTTACTGCCCAGACTGTTGCCTCGAAAGAGCGTGGTCATGCAGTCTGAGACCTCCACTTCCTTGTAAAACATGTTCCAGAGGAGGGAGGACAGCATGTGTTTTGAATCAAAGAGGGTCACAAAGACGCGAGACAGCTCGTCCATCTGCGGCGTCACGACGACGGTGGCCAGCGCCATGGCGATGGGCAGCTCTGACTTGTCGCCCTGCATGGTGACCAGTTGCACCAGCTGTTCGTATCGATCAGCCAGCACCGTCTCCGCCAGCATGTCAAACTCAGTGCCCTGCTGGAGGATCTTGGTGAGCACCTCAATGAAGGCCGCCCTCGTCTGCAGATCTTTGTGGTAGCCCAGTCCGATGGAGTGCATCAGGCCGGAGTCGATGTTCGCACTGAGCAGATTGGACATCGCCTGAATGGTGTACGTTCTCAGCTCGCCCAGTTTCGCCGACATTCTCGAGGTGGTCGAACATCGGTTGCTGGGCTCGGGCACCGAAGAAAGGGACACGGTGTCGTCGCCGGTGGTGGCCACGCTCAGCACTTCACTGCATTCATTTAGCAGATTCATGAAAAGGGAAAAGTACTTTAGAAAGAGCTGACTCTTGGCCTCCATCAGATCGCCGCGATCGCTCTCCTCGGGCTGCAGTGGCAGGCCGAGCAGAAGGGCTGCCACTGCCTGCATGCACGACTGATCGAGATCCCGAAGTAGCGAGGTGAGGTCGGTGTAGACGGTGGGCTGCATCTGGTGCGAGTTGCCCATGACCCAGTCGGTGAGGTACTCCACCAGTTTGTTCCGAAACTTCATCTCCTGTCGAAAGGAGAGGTCATCCCGGCGACCCATCATCGCCTCTACCAGCTGGCACACCTTGTTCTTGATGTGCACGTAGTGGTTGTTGTTGGAGTCGAGGTGGCGCACGTAGCGAACGATGGCCAACATGATCGGCTCAATGCTCGTCGTCTGGCCCAGGTTCTCGGTGGTGTGATCGGACTTGTTCTCAAAGATGCTCTTCATGATGAAGATGATGTGCTCAATGAACTGCGTACTCGTCTCATTGAGCATCACCTGTCCATTGGAGTCAAAGAACTTTTCCACCAGCACCTTGATTTGATCAAATAGAATCGGGTAGAGCAGAGGGCTCATCTCGTGGGCCAGTGTGTCTTTGACGTGCTTTTGAATTTGCGTGCCAAACTTTTCGTTGTGGCAGACGAGCAGCTTGAGAATCTGCCCAACAAACTGCGTCACCGGACAGTACATCGAGTCATGGACTGTAGAGAGGACCATGTTCTTGCGCGTCTGCTCGGGCGTCATTGAAAAGGCCGACTTGCCGTTGGCTTTCTTTTGCAGGCAAACGCCGCCGATGGCGCAGAGGAAACCGGTCATGTTGGCCCACTCGTTAAACTGATCCTCAAGCTCGTGCTCAGTGCTCTGGTGGGAGGCTCGTCGTTTGGAGACACTCCGGTGAAAGGCGTCCAGCTGCTCGGAGCTGTCCAGTTTGCTCTTCGGAAAGTTGACTAGGAACTTTGTGGTGGCATCCCAGTTCATGAAGGTGTCCTCCCACGCCTGAGAGCAGCCATTGGTGCAGTTTTCAATCTTTCGAAGCATCGAGTTGATTCGCTTTTGCAACGCAGCGCGGCCAGTCGTCAGAATGGTGCTGGAGTTGGCCAGCTCAAAGTACACGTGGTAGTTGGGCAGAAGGTAGGTGGCCGTCAGGTCGTCCTGGCCGTAGCGAATGTCCGCCTCTTCGGCTAGTAGGGCAAAGCAGGACATGGCCACCAGGACGCACTCAATGTCCACCGACCAGAGGTACATGAAGAGGACGACCTCCAGTTTGATGTGCGCCTGCTTGCAGATGGCCACATTGCTGCCCAGGTTGGCGTACTCTTTGTGGCGAATGAGGAAGACGTTCCGCTGCTTCAGCACCTCACGCAGCCACTTGAGAATCTCCGTGTAGTTGACAATCTGGTGTTGAATCAGCTTCTGCGAGATGGAAAAGAGCACCTGCGAGGAGACGTCCCAGAAGGTGTTGATGGGCGCATCCGGATTCCACTTCTCAATCTGTTCAAATTACCCAGTTCTTTGATTAATCTTTTTCAACAAAAAAATGTAAGCACACTTACGTTTTCCGGTCGGTGAAGAACGAGCAGCGCTTCCATCGCCTCCTGCGCAATGTCCGGCATTGAAGACTGGTGCACGAGTGACACCAGTCCGTTGATCAGCTCCAGTGTGTTGCTCTGCGTCTCGTGGCCAGCCTTTCCCTGGTTGTTCAGCATCAGAATGGGATTCACGTGAATCAGGCGCACCATCCACAGGAGCAGGTTTTTGTAGCTCAGGCCCTCCTCCGTTGACTTGTCCTTGAACTTCAGCGCGGGCACCTTCTCCTTTAACGTAAAGCTCTGCAGGGTAGAAAAAACCAAGAGTTAGCAAGTCAATGGGTCAGTGGGCAGCAGGTGGAAAGGACCACAAACCTGACAGAGCTTTTAGTAAGCATTGTCAAAAAAGAAAAGTGGTAAATAGTAGTGGAATGTAGTGAATAGGCTAGTGTAGAGTCGTCAAGACCGAGTAGTAGGCTAAATACCTGAATCATCCGAAGGGGCGTGTGAGAGATGCAGCCTTGGGTGGCCTTGATCAACGTATCAGTGAACATGATACGAAGCTCGGAGGACTTGCTGTAGATGTAGTCGATTTTAGGCCACCAGGAGAGACGGGGCTGGGTGATGATTCGAAAGAGGGAACACACCAGGACGTAGTGGTACACTGAAGGGGAATTCGGGTTCAGGCAAACCTGGTCAAGCGGAAAAAGATGCACATGTAAGTTTTATTCAAAAACTGAAAATGACGTACCTTGAGGGCTTCATTGTTGCCGTGAGGAGTGATGCGGAAGATGGAGACAAAGCACTCGATCATGAGCTCGACGTCGTGTGTAATGTTCGAGGGATTGCGAATGAACGGTTTGGAGTGAAAGAGCAGCAGTTTCAGGTCTGTCATCACCGAGTTGACCAGCTTGAAGAGAAAGTTGTTGCTGTCCTTGTTGTTGATGTAGGTGGAAGCCTTGCAGAGCTTGACGCAGGTCACGGCGGCCGCCTCGGTGAGCTGTTTGCTGGAGCTGTGCGGAATGAGGGCTTTCTTGACGCTGTCGATGAAGTTGCGCTTGCGAATGTGCTTCTGCGAGAAAGGGGCGCCCGCCTCGGCGTTGACGATCTCCTCGAGGATCTTCGGACAGAGCAGCAGCAGCATGATCTGAATGGACCACACGTATGACTTGCGTTTGTTGTTGTTCTCCGCGTAGACGTCCAGCTGCTCAAAAAGTTTATCACAGCAGTCACAGAGCTCGTCGTTGGGCTTGCCAGTCTGCAGCTCGAGGAACTCATTCGGGTACGCCTCGATCCAGTTCCAAATGGCTTTCTCCACGTTGCCCAGCAAAATGTAGTGCGTATTCTTCTTTAGACTCTTAAACTTGAGGTTGATTTCAATCAACAGCTTTAGTAATCTGCTCAGGTCAACGTTAATATATTGAATCAGCTCGATATCAGTCACGTCCATGTTCTCATCGCTTGAGTTTGATAGCTCTTGAAGTCTGGTTCGGAAGGGGGCGAAAGGTTAGATGAAAGTGATGACAATTCCTAAGGTAAAGGTAAAAAGGCAACTTACCTAGAAGATATTCTACTGAAGACGGCATTGAAGTTGTTACAACTCAAGGCAAATAATACTTTAGAAGCGAGTACTTTCAGCTGTGTTTGCATCACATTGTCATTAGGAGAATCGATAAACTGTTTTGGGAGGAAAGGTGTCAATCAATCAGGTGCTGGTAGACCACTAAATAAGTATTCATGGCACGTACATGGCAAAGTTCCTTGAGAAGTGCCTTGACATTCATCGCTTCATCATAGCGCGTCGTCTCTTTTGGCTGAATATTCAGGCACTTCTCCAAGGTGTCTAGGAGCAAGAGTTGCGATTCGTAGAAGTTCCGCTCGAACTCAGGCTGTATTGGACCATGAATTTGAGATCGTTGGGCAACAAACTAAATGAGAGAAAATTCAAGCGGGTGGTTGAATAACTGAGACTGCTCAACAGGCGCTGAAAATGCTTAATTACCATGTCGTTAACTGCTTTTAAAATTTTAGTTAAACCCGAAATGACGAGAGAAAACTTGAATTTGCTTATGTTTATTAGAGTCTCCTTTATCTGCTCGATGTTAAGTCGGCCATGGCCCGTTTGAGGGCCGCTTCGGTAAGGCAGCTAATGAGGGGGAATGTTCTCATTACCGAGAGAATGGGTGATTAGGAGAGAAGGACACTTACCTGCTCTTCGAAACGGCCGAGGAGTGAGGAGACCCACTCCACAGGCTTTTGATTGGCCATTTGCGGAGTGTAAGCTGTTTCGCCTAGCTTCACGTGCTGCAGGAGTTCATGGAGGGTGTCTCAAGGCAAGGGGTAGTGCACACTGGGTTGGGGTGATGGTGGTGGTAGAGGACGACGACGACTGCTGGGGATTCTCCTGATCAGACTGCACCATCGTTGGATGTTGACAGCAGCTGAAGGCAACGAGAGCGCGATTGCCGCTCCGTCAAATGGTCGCCTATTGATGAGACAGACATTGATGAGGCTGCCTTTGTGTTGTTTGTTGCCGTTCAGGTGCAGTGTCAGTGGGGCGATTGCATGCGCGAAAGACAGGTGTGCATTGGTAGATCACATCATTTGCATTGACCATTAGTGAGAGGTGAGATCAACGGGTGGGGGGAAAGGGGTGCTAGTGCTGATGGGGATGCTGCTGCGGCGGCTGCTGCTGGGGACTGAGCTGGCTAGTTGGGTGAGGAACTCCTGCACTACAGTCAGTCCTGACAACTACTCAGCAGGCTCTAGTGCCGCTGGGGTCGTCCGACGACGACTTCTTCTTCTTCTTCTTCGGCTCTTCCGTCTTGGACAGTGCCGTGGTTGACAGGCTGGCAGAACTGCCGAGACAGTCAGCGGGTCAGCGGGAGTTTGGAGCGGCGCACCGGAGAGAGAGTGATGGCAAAAAGTGAGAGCGATGAAGAGAGAATCAGATAGAATGAGAATGAGAGAGAGAGAATGATAGAGAGACTGCACCGTCGGACCGAGCGAGGGCAGATGCGACGAGCCACTGGACTGATGTTGACAAAGTGCATTCACTGTATATGCACCGGAGAGAGAGAGGAGAGAGTGAGAGGAGAAGAGAGTGAAGAGTACAGGCAGTGAAGAGTGCCAGCATTCTCATTCACAAAAACCAGTGGAGAGAGAGTGTGTGGAGGAGAGGAGAACGGCGACAGTGGCAGTAGCAGAGGACGGCCATATCTCTTCTTCTTCTTCCTTCAGCTGCAGCTCCTTGGCGGCTGATCTGAGCAGGAACCCCCGTTTGCGCGGCCGTTTCACCGCCGCTTGGAACACACAGAGCACCGACCACCCGTCGCTGTTGTCGCCGTTGTCGTCTTGGAGGCCATCGGCGGCGGCGGCAGTGCGGGGCCTCCACTCAGGCTTGTGCCCGCCGTCGTCGACGTAATCGTGCCCTAGTGAACTGCACACTACCTCTCTCGCTCTCTCACTGCACATTCGTCTCCTGACCCAAATATTCGGCTGCTGACAAAGAGTGGACGGTGGTGCCAATCACTGGTGAATCTTCTCAATGAAACCGCTCGGTACAGCTCTGGAACGCCATGGCTGCTGCCTGGCTACAATGTCCTCCCTTTTCTCGTTTGCTTCCACGACACACACGCACTCACTTGGCCTACACTGACTGCCCCAATCTACTCATTCTGCATTCTAGGCCAATTTTCTCAATGGCCAGACAGCAGCAACAGCAACGGCAGCAGTAGTATTAGGGATGGTTGTACAACTGGAGCAGTCGGTGTTCCAATTGGAATGACGGTGACGCGTTGTCGATGGCTCCGACTGAGCTGATGGTCCGGTTAACAGCGGCGTCGGCGGCGGCAACAGAGGCCAAGTTGCTGCTATCTTTAGTTTTCGTACAAGGAAGGCAGTGGTGCACATTCGCTGTGATCGGATTTACTGGATTGCTGGCGCAATGGCAACCGGAAACGACGCCAGCTGCAGTGGTTTAGTAGAGCGTTTGCCAAACGGCTTAGACGGCTGCTGTGAATTTGAAAATTGCCCGGTTGCAGTTTACCGAACACTGAGGACACAGTTGATTGGAGACCATAAACTTTATGGTTCTTAGCGGCGGCAGGCGATAAGGCACACACAGTGTCCAGTGTCAGTGTCCGCCACTGACGGTGTCAGACTGGCAGGCACTGGAAAAGAATGAATGGTAGAGCAGGCGAGAGCAGGTTTCATTTACCGATTAGCGGTCAATCAGTTACCTAAAGTAGCTTAGACCACTGCCATTCAGATCTGCCTGCAGTCGTTGAGTCTATTGAGCCCCTTTCGCTGATAATCACCAACTGGCTGTCATACCTGTGGCCACTAACACACAACGATCACCTCGTTGTGGGACGCGCCCACGGCCTCTTTTCATGCTTTGTCTGTTTACTGTTCACCACAAGCACAGCTCCCACCACCACCACAGCCATCACCACCAACAGCAGCTGATGTGTGCTTTGAATGCCTCCCATACTGTGATTGATACCTGCGATAGCTTATCTTGATATCGATAAGCTCACTCACTCATTCACTCGCTCATTCGTTCATTCATTCATTCACTCAGCAGCAGCAGCACTTGCACCGCCGTTGCGGTAGCGCATGCGACCGGTGGCGCCAGCATCGTCGTCACCGTCAGTACTGTTGAGCACTCTACGAATGCCCCATCGAGCTGTGTTTTGGTTCTCTTTCTCTCTTCATCGCTTTCTCCATCACCACAATTTGACCAGCAAGTGGACACGCCAATTCTCTTATCACCTTCTCCATAAGGACCTCTACAGCAACAGTAAGATGATAATGGTGCTGACGCCGCGCCAGAAGCAAGAATTGTAAGTTCCGCTGCCCTCGCCGCCATCGCCGATCAGCCACGATCAGTAGCACTCCCAGCAGCAGCACCCTCATTGTCCTATCACCTTGTGCACTGATTGTGAAGTTCGTATACTTACATTCTTTTCGTCGCCCTTTTTGTATTTTGTAGAGAAAACGCAATTGCCGATTACCTTGAAAATAGTGGCTACACAAATGCTCTGGAAGCATTCAAACAAGACGCCAAAATTGTAAGTACCTTCCTACGTCGGCTCCTGCTGCCGTTGAGGTGATGAAGGCGTAATGTACTGCTGCTCTTGCGGCTGCTTTTGTTTACGGCACTTTCTGCACCGCCAGCTGGGTAGCCAAGATGTTCTCTAAACAATGCCTGTTTATTTGTTTACAGCAAAGGGACAATGATACTGGCGAAAAGGGAATGCTTGAGAAGAAATGGATTTCCATTGCTCGGCTATCCAAAAAGATTAACGAGCTAGAAGACAGAAATCGCAAATTAGAGACTGAATACATCAACGGTGCTCCACTGAGAGACAAACGCTCGCCCACCGAATGGATTCCCAGACCACCTGAGCGGGCGTCAATGGACGGGCACACCGCTCCAATAACTAAAGTAATATTCCACCCCGTTTTTATCCAAGTCGTCTCCGCCAGTGAGGACGGTACCATCAAGACATGGGACTACGAAAGTGGGACTTACGAGAGAACATTGAAAGGCCATACAAACGCTGTGCAGGACATTGCGTTTAGCCCCAACGGCAAAATACTAGCATCGTGCTCAGCCGACCTAAGCGTCAAGCTTTGGGACTTTCAGCACTTTGTCTGCACCAAAACTCTCTACGGCCACGACCACAATGTGTCTTCGGTGACGTTTCTTCCGTCAGGCGACTACGTGCTTTCGTGTTCCCGTGATAAAACCATCAAAATGTGGGATGTTTCAAATGGTTACTGTGTCAACACGTTCTCTGGTCATCGTGAGTGGGTGAAAATGGTTCGCGTCAACACCGATGGCTCCTTGATGGCGACATGTTCGAAAGATCATGTAAGTGTTTTATTTTGTAAAGTAATTTCACAAAAACCAATGGTTTCATCTATCTTTCAGACTATCATCATTTGGAATTTGCTCAATGCAAACAGTGATGTCAAGGTCATGTTTCGTGAACACGATCACACCGTCGAGTGTATAGCCTGGGCCCCCAACTCTGCTAGCAAACCCATATCGGAGGCTTTTGAAGAGGTACTTGGAATTTTGGTGGTAAAAAATGATTTTACTAAAATATTTTCCCATTTATAGAAGAAAAAAGAGCTCCAAGGTCCTTATTTGATAAGTGGCTCCAGGGACAAGACGCTTAAACTATGGGACGTCGGAACGGGCGTTTGTCTGTACACATTCATCGGCCACGACAGCTGGGTGAGAGATGTGTGCTGGCATCCAGCTGGCAAGTACTTTATCTCCGCCTCGGATGATAAGACCATTCGAGTTTGGGATGTAACCAACAAGCGCCTCAACAAAACTCTCGAGTCGCATAAGCACTTTTGCACCTGCATAGGTACGCGTACACTCAGCCAGTTCTTTGCCATCGCACTACTAATGACATTGTTTACTCTTGTTCCGTTGCTTTGTAGACTTTCACCCTACGAATCCTTTTGTGGTCAGCGGCAGCGTCGACCAGACGGTCAAAGTGTGGGAGTGCCGATAGCGAGCAGCGGGAATGTGCTGTCGAATGTGATTGTTACTGTATTTTGATTAGTTTATTTAATTTTGATTTTATTAAGTTTATCTGGAAATTCAAACTATGATAAATAACTCCAAACGAAAGAAGTTCTTTCTCAGTTTGAGCTTACGAAGGAATCACCCCGCAAGCGCGTGTGTAGCCATCATCAAGCTAGTGGGCAAGCTCAGCTCCACCACCACCACCACCACACCTTCCACCACAACCACCAACTACCATCTCACACCACCACCACCTACTCCACCAATAACATCGGCAACAACATCCTCCAACTCCAAACATCCTCCCTTCCACTAGAAAACACACACACACACATATGGTCAAGTGACACATTCGTCTCGGTGACAAACACTTCTAAATTCGTAACCATCAGTTGAGTCTGTTGATGTAAATATATAATTTAAAAATGAGCCCTGTCCGTGACGTCAAGTGAAAAGTCTCTGTACCATATAAATGCTCTCTATAATTTATAAAATATGAAACGAAATGAGTTTTTGGTTTTTACCAATTTGAAAAAGTTAGTTTATTCACGTTCCCGTTTCACTCGTAGAGACTGTTACACGGTGCTGGCAAAAGAGGCGGGACCCTCTTGTAGAGTGGAAGAAGGGAGAGAACTGTTCACGCACAGTTGTTGTGAGACAGCCTTCGGGTGGCTGGTTTGCTTTCTCATATGCTATTCAGCATTCGCGCCAGTCTGTTGTTTGGGATAACAAAAGTGATAGAAGCCGGGAAAATCGCATATTTTAAAGTTATAGATTGTTGATCCACTGACAGCATGGATAGTACGGATAGAAGCAAGCACATTCCATGGTAAGAAAGAGAACCATTTTTTAAAGATTCGTTTGACCAACACTACTGTTTGTTTGCAGGCTTGAAAAGTATCGTCCACAAGTGTTTGAGGATATTGTCGGCAATGAAGATGTCATCGACCGTTTCAAGCACTTCGCAGTGCATGGAAACATTCCCAACTTTATTCTCGCCGGTCCACCCGGTGTCGGGAAGACAACTGTAAGAATTTGTATTTTTATGTTTTAAAAACAATGCACTAACTTTGTTTTTCAATCATCGAAGACCATCCTTTGCTTGGCAAGAAAGCTTTTAGGTGACATTTACAAGGATGCTGTGATGGAGTTAAATGCCTCTAATGAACGAGGAATTGACGTAGTGAGAAACAAAATAAAAATGTTTGCTCAATCCAAAATGTCGCTTGGTCCAACTCAACACAAGATTGTTATTCTGGATGAGGCGGATAGCATGACTTCGGGAGCACAACAGGCGCTTCGGCGAACAATGGAGAACTACTCAAACACAACTCGTTTTGCGCTGGCTTGCAACTCCTCCGAGAAGATCATTGAGCCTATTCAGTCTCGATGTGCGGTCATTCGCTTCTCCAAAGTGGGCGATAAGCAGATTGCCGACAAAATTATTGACATTTGCAACAAGGAATGCCTACAGTACGACAATGAAGGCATTGAAGCGATCGTTTTCACTGCTCAGGGTGACCTCCGTCAGGCGATCAACAATCTGCAGTCCGTCTCCGATGGTTTTAATAAGATCATCTCAAGTGAGCACGTTTTTAAGGTTTGCGATGAGCCTCATCCAAACTTCATCAAGGATATGTTTAAGCACGTTTTAGACAGTGACGTGGACGAAGCCTATGCCATTATCGCCAATCTTTACCATCTAGGATACTCTCCTGAAGATATCATTAGCAATGTGTTTCGCATTTGCAAAAGTTACCCACTGCCAGAGCACCTAAAGCTGGACTTTATCAAAGAAATCGGCATCACGCAGATGAGAATATGCCAAGGCGTCAACTCACTGGTGCAGTTTTCCGGACTGATTGCCAAGATGTGTAGAAAAAGCATGTAGAGGGAATTTTTTAAATCGCTATTATTTTACGATACCAATAAAGATATGATTGAACTCATTGAGATCGATGAATCGACCGATTTTTAAAAAAGTTGCCAACTGTTCGGCAGTGTGCGCATGTCTTTTCAGCTCTCAAAAGAGATGCTCTGAAGGATTTTCAGTGTAAACAGTGTGCCGGACTGCGCGTCAAAGCTTTCGTCCACTGACGTTCGTGTGTGTTTGTGTTTGTACTATTGTAATCATTCCAACAAATTGGATCTCCCATTTTTCTGCTTCTCAACTTTTACCACAACTATAAACCTCGCCTCAAAATGACCATTGGCCAGCCCGATCAAAAGCTTCATTACGGCCATGCGGCACACCATGCTGATGACCCACTGAACGGCGACTTTGTAAATGAACACGGAATAATCGACCAGAAAGAAGTGGATGAGACCAACATATATGTGGAAGCTAAGCTGAACAAGGTTCTCCAAAACATAGCAGATAATGATTTGATCAGCCTCAAGGCTGCGGCCGCATCACCAGGTGGTTTCGGTCTCTTTGACAGAGAGATCCGACTTAAAGCCTGGTACAAGCTGACGAATGTTGACGAAAAGACACTTCCTTCGCTTTCAGAGGAGGATACACAGCGGAACAACTTCTACCGGCAGGTGATTCTCGACGTGGACCGGTCACTGAAGCGCTTTCCGCCTAGTGTGCACGAAGCGAAGCGACTTTTGTACCAGGACTCACTCACCAGAATGATCATTCGCGTTCTGTCGCACAATCCAAGGCTGCACTACTATCAAGGATATCACGACATATGCCTGACATTTCTGCTGATGGTCGACGAGGAGACGGCCTTCAGACTGGTGAACAGAGTGTCAAACACCCACCTCTGCTACTACATGGAGGAGACGATGCACACCACCAGCAATCACCTGCAGATCATCTACTGGATTCTCAATCTGGAAGACCAAGAACTGCACGACTATTTACTTCGCTCCGAAGTGGGCACCATCTTTTCCCTCAGGTTTGTTTTGCTCTTTCCAGTCAGGTCCCCTCTGTTTCCTTGTGCGGCAATTTGCACTACCACCTTTGCTGCTATCCAATCACTCGCATGAATCATTACCGTTCAGCGACCAGTGAATCAGTCGGCGAATTGTGTTGATGTTGCCGATGCAGACCTAACCTAACTCTAACACCATCTTCTCCCTCAGCTGGGTGATCACCTGGTTCAGTCACGTGCTGGGCAACTTTGATGACATTGCTCGGCTGTTTGACTACTTCATCTCCAGCCACTTTCTCATGCCCATCTACCTGACAGTGTCCATACTGCTCTACAAGAAAGATGACATTCAACAAATCGACTGTGATATGGCCAGCATGCACCAGTATCTCACTAATATACCTCAACGGGAAAGGCTTCCATTTGATAAACTGGTGGACGACTCGCTGCGTCTGGCGGTGAAACACCCACCGGAGGACACGTTGGCCACTCAGAAAGCTCTGCAGGAGAAGGCGCTGAGCGGGGAAGAGGAGCCGACTGCCGTCGAATCGACGCTCCTCTTCATCCGTCGCAATGTCTTCTCCATCACCTTTGTCGTCTTTGTGAGCGCCATGATTTATCAGCTCTACTCCGAGTATTCCTAACGAAGCCAAACTTTCCTTCCGAAAACATTACATGTACAGTTTTCATTATCTTTCTTTTTATTGCAATAACAATAAAGAATGCAATTTATTAAATATCAAAGAGCATAAACACATTCATAATTGTTAAGAAAAGGCATGTAATGGTCAGTGGTGGTGATTGAAGGTGAGCAGTGGAGGCAGAAAGGAGCCCACTATCAGGTATAAAAGCTCAGTACACTTCAGCCGCTGGTGTTGGGTAATCTCCGGCAAGACGTGCACCGCGGCAACGTAGAGGAAGGTGCCCGCACTGAAGAGAAGTGAGATGCCTGCAAGGGAACAACAACAAAAACTCATTAAGAACGTGTCATTTATGGTATATTTGATTCAAACCCGTACCGGTGGCATTGTAGTAGGACAGTGCCTCTTTTGCTGACGCACTGATGCCAAAGTATGTGACAAAGGAGGCTACTGGAGCGCTCAGTGCAAACAGTAGCAAGTATCGCTTGGCACGAGACCGCTCGATGCCTTCCGAGAGAAGATAACTCACAAAGCCAAATGAAGCTGGTGCTTTGTGCATTAGAATGGCCAAAAAGACGATCATCTCCACGTCGGCGTGCGCCGTCGTAGCTGCTGCTCCCATGGCGATTCCGTCGGCTAATTGGTGACAAAATGTAAAATTCATAGATCAGTAGCATGAAAAATACCTGCAGAATGAACCATAAGTCCGACGGTGGCTGTGAAAGCTGCTGACTTCTTTTTTGAACTAGAATTTCGGGCTTGAGATCCATTCTCAACGGTGTCTTAATTGAGTGAATGGAAAAACAAGTGTTAACTTTGCAAATGAATTTTTGTGACGTGACGAACCAGCGGTGGGCAGAGAGTTGTACTGATGTGGTGAATTGGACGATGAGCCACTGGAGAACTGGTCAATGATGAGCATCATAACAAATCCACAGAGTAATGTGATGCCCACTATGCTGTGCGGCTCGTGGGTTGATTCTCGAGTTGCATTCCTGTGTGTTGATGATGAGTCAGATGTAGCTGTGTCTGGTTCTATCATAAAAGAGACAATGATTAAATACCTTCAGGTAATACTTTTACAGGTTACCATGATTGTGACTATGATGATGAATAGGCTGATATGATGACTCGTATATACTGTTGACACCTTCGGGAATGNGGATCCATGCTTTTACAGGTTACCATGATTGTGACTATGATGATGAATAGGCTGATATGATGACTCGTATATACTGTTGACACCTTCGGGAATGATCACACAAAGGGCAGTGCCCATAAGAATACCGGCTCCAAATACGCTCAGAGTTCGTATCTTGGACTGCAAAAGAAAGTTTATTGTAAAATGATACAAAGTTCAAAGTGCACTGTACCTCAGAAAGCTGAAATATCATCGGAATAGTGCCGGCAACATAGCTGCCGAATCCGATGGAAAAGTTTAAAAGTATTAAAAAAGAAACTTCATCCATCTTGATCGGTCATTTGATTCTTTGTGGAGAGACGAATGAAGTGGCTGAACTACAAAATCAGCGAGTAGAAAAGGTGAGCGACCAGCCTGGTGGTCTGCGTTGTTGCAAATCAGCCGTTTTGGAATGGTGTCGCAATGGTGTAGATGCTCCATTCAGGGAGACCATTCTGAAACGGCCGTCATAATCACATGGATGGTACGTGAGAGAGTGCCTGACTGGCGATGTGCTCGCACGGACTGAACACGTAGGCACGACTGATGCAGCCGCCGGTGATAATAACTGACTGACTGACTGACGCCTGCTGTGGTCGCTGGTCGAGCCAAGAACGGATAGAACCTCTCAGCAGGCTGACATTGAGAACTGCACTTCGAGGAGTGATTCAGCGGCCAGTGAGCAAGGTGGGGTGACCAGGTGCCAGTGTTGTTGATAGTCGCTCATTCGCATGAAACGGTCTCATTTTGCCGAATCACTAGCAAATTGCATTCACAGTGCCGAGTCAGCTGTTCGTACAGTTTGTTGTTTACAACTCGGGCAGCAAAGCCCGCTGCTACAGCTGCTGCTGCTTCTGCTCCGGAATCAAAATTGGGGTAGTCGAGTAATGGACTTGTATCGTTTATTCAACTTTATAAAAACCGTTATTCTGGTACAACAATTGACATTTCATCAAATAAGCGTACAGGGAAATCTGTTCAGTTGTAAAATGATGCTAAGATGGACTTTGAGAACGGCGATTCTTTCGATGTGAACTGGATTCGTGTCGTCTCCTCTTTGACCGGTGTTTATCGTCTTTGCGAGGCGAAGCTGGAGATCGAGACCGAGATTTTGACTTTGAGCGTCTGGAGCTTCGGTGACTTGATTTGTGCGAGCGTTTATGGCGTCGATTCCGGTCCTTTGATCGTGATCGAGAACGATGTCGCCGCTTTCGTGAACTACTTCGGCGATACCTGGCCGGTGTTCTGTCAGGTGATTCATCGTCGTCATCGCTATCAAGTTTATAGCGTCGAGGTGGGGACAATGAGGGCGTATTTCTACGCCTAGGAGAGGGGGAAAAATGACGATCTTTGATCAAGGCATCATCAGTGGTAAATGGCAGAACAGAACAGTCCTTTGTCGAGATGACTTTTTCTTTCGTTTTATGAGTTGGAGAATGATTAGGTGAAGTTATTGCCTCAATGGTGGGGGACAGTTGAATATTATCTTTTGGCATATCAGGCCCATAAGGAATTGGCTCGGTATTCATGTTATTCCCTTTGCGAAGCAAATTGATGAATTCGAGGGCTTTTTTCTTTCTTTCAAGTTGAAGTTTTTGTTCTTTGGAGAGCAAAGGAACTTCCTCTTTTTGAGGTTTTGTCAGCTGCTGAGCTCCCTCTTTCAGCGCTCTGGTTATCGTTGTATCCTGATGGATCTTTTTAGGCGGCTCTTTAGCAGCAATCGAAAAGGCAATCGTTCGTGAAAGGTCAGGTTTTTTCGGTTTCCTATACTTTGCTATTTCGCTAATCTTTAGTTTCACATAAAATGGGTGATAAACGTGCCCTGGGTTGAGAAACTCAAATTTCTTATCACCCAGAGCTTTGATTGATTTTTCAAATTCATCGCCGTTTTTGCCCACATGCTCTGCCAGCTTGATGATGATTGCTTCCACATCAGATGGTGGCTGAGGAATTAGTGAAGAGACGGACTTTGCACTGGAAGTGGGAGCAGTGGAAGTGGGCTCGCTGTTAGAGCTTTTATCCGAATTGCTACTTTCATCAATGTCGTCAGCAAACTTGTCTTTGAAATGCTTCACAAGTTGCGAGTAAGAATCATCCTCGGAAGACTTGTTGAACACATTGGTAAGGTGGCCGATTTTGACATTGTTGTTGGCGTTTTGACTTTTGGAAGACAGTAAGCTGGGATGTAAGTAATTGCCGTCGTCTGAATCATCGTCCGAGTCATTGTCGTCTTCCTGGCAATTGCTGCCGTTCGGGATATATTTGCCCATTTTAATCTCGTTAAGTAAAAACTTGTAGTACTGGTTCAGTGGTGAATCGATGGAAAGAAAGTCGAAACTGGAGTTTGATGCCTGCTTCGTTTTAAGCAGAATCTCCATCTGTGAACCCTGTTGTGCCACAAACAGAGCCGTCTTTTCAATAATATGGTGATGCTTGTTGGTTTCAGGCTGCAAAAGAATACAAGTTGTTAGAATAAAATGAGATCAATTTGTGTCATCTTTTTGACTCACCAAAGTCAAGTTGGGCAAAATGTTGAGTCCATGAGGAGCTTTGAATGTATCACCACTTTTAGTTTCGTCCTTATTCGCATGTCCATTTTCTTTCGACAATCTAGTATTCGAGTTTTCATACTGATATCCAACATTGGAGTATTGGCCACCACTGACCAAAGCAGCATCATTGTTTGCTTTAAAGTTAAAAAATTGTTTAAAAACAATCAATGTATAGTTTTCAAGCAAGCATACCTGGTTCGTCTTCAGTTTCATCTTCATCTTTTAGATCGGCAAAACGTTCAATATTCAGTAACCTCTCCTGTTCAAGTTCCTCATCGGTAAGCTGGGCGTTTGACTGCTTTGAGAGTTTCGAGCTGTCGTACAGCGATAAATCGTTCAGGTATCCGCGAGCGTCGTACCTGGTGGACGTTGCAGAACAGGCATTAGTATGGGCGAACTTTAGGCATGGCACAGTCTGCTAGAATAATAATATTTACAGCAAAAAATAATCACCATCTTGAGCTTAGCTCATTTTGGGCAATTGCAATCAATACGCTTTAGGTAACTTCTTATGAGCATCCAGGCGATTGAACGTCGGATCGGAACTCAGTACTGCAGAGTTACAACAACACAAATGAAAGCTGCAAATCAATAGTTATGGAAAAGGGAACAGTGTCAATCAGTGTGATGAGGCCTGTCAGGCCAGTCAATCAGTGAAATGATTTGCAAATCAAGGTGTCAAGGGAAATAGAAAGAATCATCTTGTGGGATGTGGGACGTTGGAATTAGTGTTCAAGCACAAGCACTGGCCTAGGAGGGAACAAACCTGTCAATGAGCAGCTCCTCGTGACCCATCCAGGGAATCAGGTGGCGGCCAGACTGGATCCAGGCATACTTTTCAGAGTCGTAGTACATCTTTGCCGTGTAGCCAAAGGCAGACAGGTCCTCGTAGGGTTCGGCATCGCGGCTGAGAGACTTGCTGAAGCTGCCCCAGTTGATTCGCTTCCCCGAATAGGCGTTATGGTTTTTGGACTCCATAAAGGGAGTCAAGTTTTGTTTGAAACGACCAGAACTTTAAGAAACAAACAACAAAACACCGAAACACAACGCGTGTTTGGCGAGTGAAAGCAAAGGATCGAGCAGACAACGGGGGCAGTGAACAATGCATGAGTGGGGGCAGCACTGCCCAAAACGCACATCTTCATGCAGCATCGAAAAGAAAACAGCAAAACTGAATGAGCATCAGCAAATTGAACTTCTTCATGATCTTTTTTTCACCTTGGNACAAAATGGAATGAGCATCAGCAAATTGAACTTCTTCATGATCTTTTTTTCACCTTGGCCTCGTGGGTAAGTCTCTGTTAATTTTCCGTTTTTATAAAGTTCATTTGTAAAATTTAAAATTAATTTTAACTACTCGCTCCCTGGCGGCCTCTGTCCGCTGCTCTGTGCAAAAATGGCCGCCGACTGCTTTGCGTGATCAATCGAACTATGCTTGCACGTCATTGTCTTTAACCTAAATCATCGCTTGCCGTTTCACTCGATAGCTGATCATTTGTAATACGATCGACAGTCTACAAATCATTAAGAAAGTAGGCTACCTCTGTAAATGAGGAGAAATGGCAACGGCAATGGCATCTTTGTTGCAGTCGTCAGGAAAGACAATCTCCCTTTCAATTGCTCATCACTGACTCAATTCAATTTTGAGCAGGCCTTCAACTTTAAGGAAGTAAGAACTCGCTCTGTTGAGGACACCTGCATCCGTCAACAGCATCAGCATCACCGGTGGCTGGCGTCAAATAAGGCCGACCACCAAGCGTGCGTCGACTGCTGATTGATTTAATCGAACATTCGACGGCGTCTTCAGCTCCATTGCACTTGCCACCGTCGCTGCACTTGCAGTCCTACAGTGGCAGTCTTCCAGGCAATTCGCCATCTTCTCCCGCTGCGCATCGGTAATTATTTTTCTCTGTGATTGCTTTCCATAGCCTGCAGTCAAGTGGCCGAGTGACTTGAACAAGAGCGCTACGTTTGCAGTTTTTTGTTTTCTTTCAGACCAACTCTTCGTTTAATTGCTTCCTTTGGCACTTTAATCAGCGAGCCGAGAACAAATGACAGTTTGCAGTAGTTGGCAAAGAAGAAGAAGAGCGAGTGAACGTGAGATATAATTTATTAGACAAACTCAACAGAGTAAAGTAGAGCAGAAGAACAATTTTTTGTACTGAGATCAAATTGGAATTGTTGATTTAGCGAGAAACAAGAGAGCAAGTGACAGTTTACTTTCTATGATCACTATGTTTGACTAGCAGCAAGACAGCCTTCAGACTGGCTGAACATGCTGATGTGTACTGTTTGATATGCGATGATGATGGTTTGGCTGATATGGCTGGACATCGGCCCTTACTAGGCTAGCCGAACTAGAACTACTCTAATTGGAATGATATGAAAAGAGAATGATAAAAACAATGATAATGATGACGATGATGATGATGGCAAGTTCTCCACCAATCGATGAGGTTCACAACCGTTTGAGTGAGAGAGTCAGCATGTGGACAGGAAGAAGAAGAAGAACAATAAAAAGAAGGGGAAGAGTATTGTAGGTAGAGATGTGAATAGAATCAACAGTAATTAATAACAGTAATAAATAGAGTTTGGAAATAGAGCAACAGCATTTGACAACTGATTGGGAATATATGATTCTCTGGTATCACACTTGGTTACTGTTTCACTGTCGTTACTGTGTGTTTAGGTAGTTGGTGAAGTGTGCTCACTTTGAACAGTGGTCACTGATACTGTTTAGTGGGAAGGGTAAAAGTGTTGTCTGCTATTGTTGGGGTGATCGATGCATTTGCTGCATGCTCAACTTGTTCAATTTGTAGTGTGAGCAGAGACTATTTGTCATGTTCAGTCTCATTCATCTTCTGGCAGAGTTCACGCATCTGCAGGAGACTGCTCTCCAGACTGGAGGCAAAAAAGTCGGAGCTAGTCTCCGCCGAGCTGTAGAAGGAGCTGATGACGAAGTAGATGCAGCCGCCCTTGGGCATGTAACAGCAGCCGTAGCCGTCGGAGACCACCGGTCCGTAGCCGATGAGAATGTCTGCCGGGGTGAAGAGCTGACTGGTGGAGAGGCGGAAGTTGATGAACTCTTTGTAGGACTTCTCGCGGAATAGTGCCCCGACTTGGCCGGTAGAGCTCTTGCCCAGCTCGCGCAGTGCCACCAGGTGATTGTCTGGTCCGTAGCCGGATGCGGTCTGTGAGTGTGTGAGTGTGTGTGTGTGTGTGCAGAAAAAAAGTAGAAGTTAGTTTTAGAGAAAGGGGATCAGAAAACATAGTTGTGTGTTAGGCATGACATACGTATTTGAGCACTTCAGTCTGCTTGCAGATGGCTCGTTTGAAGAGCAGTGTCTTTTCTTCCTAAATAAAAAGAGTGTGTGTGTACAGAATCAATTAGTGGAAACCTAGCGAGTGCCGCAGGGTAGTGCCACTTGCAGCACCGACTTGTCTGCCCAGTCAGCACATCACATCCCTCTTCATTCCCTCTTTCCCCTCTCTTTCTATGCCTTACCGCCGTGTCACTCTCTCCGCACATTGCGCGTGCCCATGCGAGTGCCTCCTTTGTCGCCGATCGAATGTTGTCCACGCGGCCCTTGCGGAACTGCCGCAGTGAGCAGCTCTCGTACGTCGAAACCACTCGTCGGTGCAGCTTAAAGTACGTCAACTGCAGAGCCAGCTGAATGAAGACGTCAGGGCTGATGCGCTGCTGCTTGATGAACTCGCTCCCGAACTCGGAAAACTTCACCACGTACAGGTCCAGGTCTTGAATGACCCTGAGGAGGGGGGGGGGCTTTGTTTAAGAGGGAAAAGTATGACAGAAACTTCACTTACTTGTCTGCATTCTTCTCCGACGCTCTGATCATCGTCTCCACCTCAGCATCGACCTTCCACTGCAGAGCAGTCCGTCTGATGGTGCTCTCTCGCTGGCGCATCTCCACACTGTTCTGTCGGTTCAGCTGACGAGCTGCCCCCTGACTGTTGTTCACCGCCGACTGGTGGGCAAGAAAGAGCTCCAGAAAGCGGAGCACTGTCACTCCTTCAGAGGCAGAGTGCTCGATGACCAGACCGCAGATGCCCTCCTTCGAGACGACAATCTACAGATGCAGTTTAGTGGCTGATGTCTCACTGTGTGTTTCACTGCGCAAAGCTCAATTACCTGGAGAAACTTGTCGAACCAGCGATTGGCCGTGTGCAGTGTACTGCCGCCTGCGTGGAGCAGCATCGACGCCATGTACGACATGTCCATTCGCGCCAGTTGGATGGAGTTGCGGTAGCCACTTTTGGTGGGCACACGCGGCGTGACAAAGTCATCGAGGCAGAGCACAAAGAGACACTGCTCCATATACTCCAGGGAGCGCTTGTTGTTTGCATCTGCAGAGAATGGGAAAGGGGAAGACTGGCGGTTAGCTCAATCAGTCGTGCTCTTCAGTGTCGCTCTCGCTTCTCTCTACTCAGAGAGCTTTGGTTCAATGTTTGCCTTTTAGCAGTTGCTTCCGCGCCAGTGCCCAAGTCTTTCGATTGTCAGTGGTAAGAATGCCCACCGGAGGCGCCTTCTCCTTGGGAGCCCCCTTTGCCGCCGTCCAGATTGAGTGCAGACAAATGGCCAAATCTTCCACCGTTGGAAGGCCCTTTTCCGCGTCTAGGTGCACTGCGTAGAACTAGAACATGCAGTGAGGTGATTAGGTGAGTTATCGATTGAGCAAAGTGCTCCATTGAATAATATAGTGCTCTCTTCCTCTCTGCTACTAACCTGGTTAAAGGCAGCCACGATAAAGTGCTCGCTACTCTTTCGCAGTATCTGCAGGTCGTCCTTAAACTCTCCGGGTATTCGACAGGCGGTGAAGAAGTGCCGATACGTTTGCATGCACAGCTTCTGGTCGCGCTTCTGCCCCTTGCCCACCTCCTGGCTCAGCGTCTGCCTGTGTGTGGGCAGCAGAGACAAAAATGAGCAGTCATTAGCAGTGATTGCCTACTACTTCTGCTGCTAAATGGACAGACTACTCTACTTAGAAAAACACAACAGCAAAGTGCCCATTTGCGTTCCCTTCCGACGTACTTATTGATTTGCTCTCGAAAGAGCAACGCAAATCGAACCAGCTCGGCGGCAAAGTGCACCTGTTCGGCGGTGTCTTTGAAGGTCTGCCGAGGCAGGAGGAAGAAGGGGTTCGAGTTGACCAGCAGAGGTACCGGATTGCAGAGGTACATGTCGTCCAACCAGAAGTCAGTCACCTAGGCAGACAGAGAGGAGAAGAAGTGAGTGAAGGGGAGGTAACATGTTGACAATGATAGACACTACTTTTGATAATAAATTGTTCACTGCTGTAATAGGCTCTCTCTCTCAATTGAATTCAGTGGTTTGTTCAGTTGCACCTCACTGGTAGCGATGGTGCTGTTTCATTGGGACACTAGTCGACTGGGACTACTTTTGCCAGCCGCAGCATCAGCAGGAAGACCAGTCTGTCAGCTAGACACATTTGGCGAGTACCGTTCCCCTCTGACTGTCTCAATTGAAAGGACACAGTTGCAGCTGAGCTTAGTGCAGCGACGGTGCTGAGTGAATCATCGACTGCTGGCACCACTGGCACTGCCAGTCTGCTAACTGGGCTCAGCTTGTCTCTCTGTCCCGAGCTCAGCCCTTGCGCCGCAAGTCCTTGTCACACAGAAAGTGCGTCAGTAGCGAAGGCCTATTTGCATTTATTTACCCGCTCCTTCCTCTCTGACACGTTCACCACTTTCTCCTTGTTGGTACTTTTAATTAGACAGCCAATCGGCACTGTGTATGCCGTAATGCGATTTAGGCGAACAAAACTTGGACCTAAACTCCAAACTGAACAAGAGTTTAGTTTGGTGCAGTTTAGATCCGTGTGCGTCAGCAGTGCATCAGCATCTCTCAGTACCCAGCAGTTCCTTCCCTGGCAGTAATTTGTCAGTCAAGCCTACTGAGACTTGAACTAATTGGCCTGTGCTTGCCTGCTCAGAGCAGA